GTACATGGTACTGTTGTTGCTGCTCAAGAGTTTGCTAACGCTTCTTCAGCAAAGTGTGGATTTACTTCACCAATATTACAACCAACAGCGGAGACGCATCAATACAACATATAATCGTCACTTCCGTACAGGTGCTGTTTACTAACAAGGTGACAGCGCCAACTACTGGCCTGGCATATGTTTTTGGCTGTTTTAGCGGATATGTATAAACGCAAATCGTTTTGAAAACGTTGTCGTGTATACGTGAAACTTTTTAAAAATGCAAGGGAAAAACTTTTCCGTTTTTGACTACATCGTTGTCGTGTAAACGTAGCCTGAGATTGCTTTTCTAAAAAAAAAAGAGAAAGAAACGGCATGTTGTATTTGAAGCATTTATTTGGGTTACACTTAAACCCACTAATAATCATTATATACTTAGGGTGTATTCACACCAGGACCAAATGCAATGTTGATTTTTTTTTTTTGTTTGGTGCGGGTCACTTTCACACTGCACTTTTTGCAAGTGAACCAGAAACTGTAAACCAAACCACACATGAGTTCATTTGGAAGTGGACCGAGACCACCTCTTCAGCTGGGTCTCGGGACAGTTGTTTGGTGCACACCCGAGTGCGATTGCTGTATTCACACCTGCCCAAAAGATCCGCACCAAGGGGGGAAACCAACTTGAGTTTGATTCAGGTGTGAACACACCCTTAGAAAACAGTTTGAGAACAATTACCTGTAAATGTGATTGACTCCAACATAGAAATATTCATCAGTCTGCTTTGCTGAAAATACAGAGCTGTGTTAGACACAGATGTTACTCATAACTCAAACTTTATATTAATACAGTTTTTGACAGTTGTGTTGTGTTAATTGTTTTTGTGATTTAGTATAGTGTCAGTGATTCTATTCATTTGAAATATTATAGGTAGAAACCCTTAAAAATAATGTTTAAATCTACTGGTGAAATCAGATGTTTTGAGGACTACTAAATATCTGCCCCAGAATAACTTCATGAAGAGCTCAATTTTTATCCTCTGACCAAATTGAACAATATAAAGTATTTTTAGTGTTGACTTGAAACCTGGACCTTGAAATTTTGTGTTGTTTTCCCCAAATAACTATTGTAAAACAGCTTCACTATAAAATAAATGTACATGTAAAAATTTTTATTTTTGCAACAAGTATATAAAGAGGTTTTATTTTGTTGGACAACTGCTGTTTCTCTGAAAGCTGGTTTACAAATTGTGTGAACAGTGCTGTGCTTTGCTTTGAAATGCAGATAGACTGTATGCTTATTTAAATAAATCTCAGCCTTTTGCAAAAGGCCCTGAGCCATATTGTGATGCTTTACCAAAGCAGTGACGCAATGCACCATGTTAGAGAACTTCTGTATTGAGAAGTGTAAAAATAGTTTCATTCATTATGAAACCGGAAGGGACAGATTAGACTGTAGAGGGCCACATCTGTATTGATATTAGTGAAACTGATGTTTATTCATAGCACTTAGCAAAAAGATGCCATTAAACAAAATATATGCATTGTATTTTTTGCACAGTTGTCATATTAGCCAATGTAACTTAAACTAAGAATTAGTCTGCTGTAGGAATTTGCTTGAAAATCACAGGCAGGCAGCATGATTTCTGATATGTGGGCTACTGGTATGAAACGCAGGTCAGAAGAGAGATGAATCTGTGTCAGAGAGCAGCTCTACAGGGAAAAGAGAGGGCGACGCTCCCACGGTCAGTAACATTGCATTGCCATTGATTTATGAAATGATTCTTCACGTGCTAATTGTATTGAAGTTTTGTGGATATTCTCAGATTCTGATCCGGCAGAGCAGCAGTCCAGCAGATCTGGATTATCCAGCAGACGGAGCTCCAGCATTCCTGAAGAAAAGTGAGCTTTGTTCGATGATCGCTCCTGGCATCTTTCTGTTCTTCTTGTTAAAAGAAAAAAAAATTTTTTTTTCTTTTCTTGCATTCTTTTTTGCTTGGTTGTATACCATAATAATACTACTACTACTACTACTAATAATAATAATAATAATTATGTAAAAATTAAGTTTTGTTTGTTTTGGTTTGGTTTATGCTTGATTTTAATAGAACAAAATGCAAAATATCTTAAATTAAAAGAAAGAATAGTAAGGTAGTTTGATATACATAATGTATTAATTCCTAACTCCTATTGTATTAATGTATCAATAGGAGTTAGAATCAATGTGGCTCAGTGGTAGAGCATTGCGTTAGCAGCGCAAAAGGTCATGGGTTCGATTCCCAGGGAACACCCATACTGGTAAAAATGTGTAGCCTGAATGCACTGTAAGTCGCTTTGGATAAAAGCGTCTGCTAAATGCATAAATTATTATTAATTATTACCTATCTGTGTGTGTGTGTGTGTGTGTGTGTGTGTGTGTGTGTGTGTGTGTGTCATACGGTCTATGTACAGTGGTGTGAAAAAGTGTTGGCCCCCTTCCTGTTTTTTTTATTTTATTGCATATTTGTCACACTTAAAAGATTCAGATCATCAAATTAATTTTAATATTACACAAAGATAATGCAAGTAAATACAAAATGCAGTTTTTAAATGATTATTTATTTTGTTAAGGGAAAAAGCTGTCCAAACCTTCCTAGCCCTACGTGAAAAAGTAATTGCCCCTTAAATCTAATAACTGATTGTGCCACGCTTTGCAGCAACAACTGCAATCAAGTGTTTGCGATAACTGGCAATGAGTCTTTCACATCGCTGTGGAGGAATGTTGGCCCACTCTTCTTTGCAGAATTGTTTTAATTCAGCCACATTGGAGGGTTTTCGAGCATGAATGGACTGTTTAAGCATCT